TCCTTAAGAACCACTCTTGTGCCACAGGCAAACTATTGAATTCCCTCATCAATCTTATTATTAGGAGAACACTCTTAATGCAGGAGCTATTGACATATACCAGGCCTGATCTGGTGTTTCCAACAGGCAGATCCCTATGTGCAAGAGATGGCATAATTTTCCTAATTGCCATAAGAAGGCAAGTTTCTTCCTTCCCCAAAGTCTCTGAAAGACTCTTCTTGTCTGTTGCTTTTTATGTCCTCCTATGTTCCCCTTTCAAATAAGAGAATTATGCTGACATAATCATCTTATGTCTAGTTACTTAATATCAAGCAGACAATTGCTACAGTTCTTGCATCAGCAATAAGATTCTAATTATTCCTTGGTAGCTGTGCATTCTGGCACTAGTAAACCAAGACAGCTGTAGCCATTTTCATGCTGTCCTTATCTTTGATGGCAGTTAAAATGTGTTTATGCACCCTTGACTCTAAGCAAATATTTTGCTGGGTTTGGGCTCCTTTTTTTTCCTGTAAATTTGATCTTGACAGTTTTACATCAGTGACATAACAACAAAAATTTGCCCAATGACATCTGTGCAGTCTGTTGGCAGAAAGTCTTTGTGGATATAAACAAAGAAGGAATCACTGAAAATACCTAACAGCTGTCCTGTAATCATGGATATCCTTTCCATATAATCGGAAAACTGTTGTTTTCTCCTCTTTTATGCTGCATTAAAAAATAATAACGACAATAAGTACCGAGAAAAAAGGGAACCAAAACCATGTTCAGAAACAGCACAGCACAAAGGTAAAAATAGGAACACAAACTATTTTTCAGTTCTGTGACACAAGTTGACACCATGCAGACTTTTGGCAGACAAGCTAATGCAGGAGTGGCTGTAATCTTACAGTTTTGGGCTTAAATCCACCTTTCAGGTACTTGGTGCACAGTCTTTGTGGGTGTGCCTGTCAAGATGTTAGACCAGGCATGCTGACCCATCAGTCAGGTCTGCTGATTCAGGCTCCCCTCCTCTGTAGTGCAGAGGATTTCCTCCAGCTGTGCCTGGGGCTGTGTTTGCTGAGTAGTTTTAAGGCAGATGTGAAATCCCTCTCAAACAATGGCATGTACCCTACAGCCTGACAGAAAACCCACTGACTCATACTCAGGGATAACAAAAAACTCAGCATTTTGCATTCCAGAAGCTAAAATGAAACTATCGCATAACTGCTGGAACAATGTTACTAATCACCCACTTCTGCAGTTCATAAAAGTATCCTGGCTTTTTTGAGATGGAAAATATGAAGACCAGTCTGGATGACCAGGACATTAGATTCAGCCTTAAAATAATTCTGAATAGTCTAAGTATTTTAAGAAATTTGAAACTGCTTGGTTATAAAACAAGGCAGTATCTATACTCAGCCATTAAATTGTCTGTTGATGGTTTGACTGGGTTTGCAGATGTAAGCATTGGGCCTTTTTTGCGTTTGAAAGATTCCTTAACAATACACCTGATACCAGGTTTCATGAATCCTGCATCCATAGTCGGTGCATTGTTGGCAAGAACCAAAGTCGCCCATGCTACCCTGAGAAAATTAATTTGAAGAGGATGTTAAGTAACCCATACCCTCTCTGTAACAGGTGTGCTTTTGATTTAGATTTTCTAAACCATAGCCTGATTACTTATTAATTCTTGTTTTGATCTGCAGTGGAGGGATGAGATGACCACATTAAATGAATGGAAAACCAATTATTATTAAGGAACGATTATATTTAGGGAATATAATAGCTCTGTTTGCCTTTATCTTATCTAGGACCCCAAGCAAGCTAGGAAAAAAAAGCGCATATATATTTTCCTTCTTGATTTTAAGATATCCAGAAATAATTTTTATAATGAGAGGAACACTTTAAAGAACATAAATTTCAGTTTTACGAAGACCATGCAGTGGATTTTACTCTTTAACAAAGTAACAACATTGATATAATCAATTTTCAGAACCAGTGCTTTTTTCCCTCCTCTTTTCTTTGTAGTTAGTAAGTGGCATTTTTCCTTTAGCAAATAATATAATAGTTGAAGATCTGCTGCTGTGAATGTAGAAACTTGCTCGAGTGGAAGCAAAGTTTGGCTTACTTTTTTGGAGCCTATTTTAGTCATATGTGAGGAGGATATTTAGTTTTAACCTTACATTTATAAAAAAGGGAGTAAATTATGAGAGCTGGAAAAAAAAAAGGATGTTTCAAAAATTTAACCCAATATTTTTTGTTTGATTCTGACTGAGAAAAATACCAGGATTTACCTGGTTTTGGGTTTTCTTTCTAGTTTCATTGTCGACAGATTATGTGGGAACGCATAAGTATTGTGTGGAAAACTTCTGGACTGGCTCTGCTATTTGGTGGTTTGCAATTGACTGTTATAGACATCATCCAAGGCATTAGTTATTCACTGGTTCTAAAATAGGACTCAGATAATTAGTGAGAATTTAAAGTGTTGGATATTTATCTGTCTACCATCATATGCATATTCTATACTTAATTTTAAAAGACTACAGAAAATAGCAATTAGTGGAACTCTGGTGTGCTAGAAACCCTTTTCCAGGACAGTGCCTCTTTTTGCATTACAGTAAGGCTGTACAGCATGCTATGAAAACATATTTTATTTTCTCAAAGCAAGAATTAAAAGAAGTTTATGCTTTTAAATGTAAGCTTGTGCTAGGAAAAAAATAGAGTTATTTCTTAGAATGAATGAGATACTAGCAGAAGTAGCTTTTGAACTCAAATTAAATATGGTCAGTATTTTAAGAATCTTTACATTGTTATTAGAAATCAGAGATCCACACTAGCTTAACTTACACTTTAACATACATATGAGAAAAAAGCAGAGATTGTGTGAAGCCATCTGCAGATGAAGGTAAGGTTTAGATGCTAAAAATAGGAAATGATGCAGTTAAAAAACCCAAGGTAAATGAAAGAAAGAACAAATCTTGAGTACATAGAAAGAAGGTGGCTTTGTTAGCTTAGATGAAATAACAAAGTTAATAATTCTTATTATGTGTTATGCCTGTATTCATAAATGCAAAAATGCAAGTAAATAAGCCGTTAATTTTTGTTTCACTGTTGGAGTTGCCTAACTGCAGGTGTAATAGAAGCATGTGTGTCCTCAGCCTTCCCAACCACTAGCAAAAAACAGGGGTACTTCTCCTCTCACTGACACTTTGGCTGTGCAGAGAACTTTCTAAAAGCAATAACACGACAGGTGTTATTGCTCTCACCACCTGTGAGAGGAAACTTCCAATGCACCCAACTCAGATACAAATATTGAGGTGTTTGAACAGAGTTTTTGTACCACATTAGATGCTTAAGATCAAAATACAGCAATAAAAACACTAACTTGGACGTGATCTCATCACAGATACAGCCAAGTGTTTTAGGTGTTTCCATTTGAAGGCTTTCAAGACTTGCTTCTGTACATGTCTGGAAATGTCTTACGCTGTGACTAAGCCTGAATTGATATAGAAGGTAATTGTCCCTCTGGCCTGCGAGGTTCAAGCTATTAGGGTTCATCTGAAATTTCCTGTGGCTGCAAGGCAACTATCACCAAAGACATCCCTTTCTTTTTAAATCATCTCTGAAGGTTGAGTTTGGTGCCACAGCCTCCTGTTTATTCTGCTTTTCCAGAAATTATGGTCCTTGTCCCAGTAATCTTCTCAAGAAAATGTGGCCCCAGCTGACAGCAAAAAACAATGTCCTGGGTGGGATGTTCTCTACGCCTCTAGTTTTGCAGACTACATTTACACAGAGAGCAGAAAGGTAGGAAACACACTTTTTCTGCCTGTGTTAAGGTTACTGAACAAAGAGAGGAATGTGGTGTTGGATTCAAAGACTATATATATATATATATTAATGTTTCCCACATTCTAGCTGAAAATAGCCTAAACTCCGTTTGTGCAAGTCAGAAGAGGATTTGAACCCTACTCTGAAGCATCTATTGTCGCATATGATACAATTAAACTAGATAGAAATCATCCTCCATAGATGTCTTTCACCAAGGAAGCTGTCTGCCATTGAACATATAGGCAACAAGAACTGCAGTGATAAAGTGCATTTTAACATTCAGCCTTGCAGCCACAATCCTCAGGAGATCTGGTCATTTAACTTACAGTGATTATGAAATACTGAGAATCAGTCCTTAGATCCACTGACTAGGAGAGCTAGAACAAAAATCTTTGAAGCACAAACTGAATTTTATACCATTTGATTAGAAGTGGTTTATACGCAGAATGCAGAAAAACCCTTGGCTAGGCAGGTTCTCTCCTAAAACTTTTGCAAAGATAAAGACATAAACTACATAGCTGTATATCTAAACAACCGTTCATCATTAAATATTTAAATGAAACAGCTTTTGCTAATACTGCTGATTAACATATGTAGACAACTATTGTGGTTTAACCTCAGAAGGCAGCTCAGCACCACACAGCCAACTCATTCTCCCCACAGTGGAACAGGGAAGAAAATCTGAAGGCTGAAAGTGAGAAAACTCATGGATTGAGATGAACACAGTTCAGTAGGTAAAGCAAAAGCTGTTCTCACAAGCAAAGCAGAAGAAGGAATTAATTCACTACTTCCAATCAGCAGGGAAACATTTAGCCATTGCCATGAAAGCTGGACTCCATCCCACAGAACAGTTACTTGGGAAGGCAAACACAATAACTCCACATATCCTCCCTTACTCTTTCTTTCCCACAACCTCTATTGCTGAGCATGAAGTCATAGCAAGACATTATAGTATGGGACATCCCTTTGGTCACCTGGGATCAGCTGTCCCAGCTGCATCCCCTCCCAAATTATGATGCACCCCCATCCTACTTGCTGGCAAGACGGAGTGAGAAACAGAAAAGACTTTGATTCTGCGCAAGCACTGTTGAGCAATAACTAAAATGCCCCTGTGCTATGAAGGCTATTTTGGTGACATATACAAACCACAGCACCAAAGAAGGAACTATGAAGAAAATCAATTCTATTCCAGTCCAGACCAGTAAAACAATTCAGAACCATGGCTACAAAAAGAAAATAATCTCACAGCAAGTGTTAGAATTTGCAGTAGCTCAGCTCTCTGTTCTTGAGATGCAGATAATTGATGGGACAAAAGGGCAAGGGAAGAAATTCCAGAGTATATTTACAATATATTCAATCTGTCTAGGATTTTAGAGCTATTTTCAAATTAAACCAAAACATCTGCTGCTGCTCTTCTTCAAGAGGCCACTCCAGGTAGGTCTTTGTGTTCATGATCTTCCGCAGCTTGCAGAACCTCTTGGGAATCGTTTTGCTCTGGATGGGCTCCAGGAGGACAAGAATCACCGCATCGTTGTTCTCATCAAAGAGGCGGAAATGTGAGAAGTCCAGCTCGTATTTGCACCACTCGCTCTGCACAAAGTGCTCGGACAGCACAAAGAGCGTTTTGTGGCTCTTCTCAATGGAGTCAATGATGTTGTCCACTATCCACTTCCCAGGCACAAAGTCCCGCTTATGGAGGCAGAGGCGAAAGGGAGGGCAGGCCTGCTCCAGCTCCCGCACCATTACGTTTTCCACCCAGTTGGAGTCGTTCTCACTGTAGGAGACAAAAGCGTCATAGCAGATGTCCTTTGGCGGGGCTCGCTTGGGCTTCCGCTTGGCTTGGAGCCACGCCCAGGTCATCCTCAGGTACCAGACCGCGTGGTACTTGTAGCCAACAGCTACAAGGATGAGGATGACCAGGAACACCAGGATGCAGATCGATGACACCACGAGGGACCTGTGGCACTCCATCAGGGAGAGGTGTACAGCTCCAACCTGGGCCCCTCTCACCGCCAGCGGAGAGTCACAGACGTACTTGTCTGGCCACCCCACCAGCACTTGGGATATCCCAGCCTGGTGGTGGATGAAGGAGAGGAATTCACAGGAGCAGATGAAGTTGTTGTCACTGGCATCCAGCAGCTCCATTCTCTTGAAGGACTCAAACTCTTCCTTGGAGAAACTGTTGAGCTTGTTTCTCCTGACTGACATGACCACTAAGTTTGGAATGGGTGCAGCACCAGGCAGGGTCTTCAGCTGGTTTTTTGTGAGGTACAGCTCTTTCAGAAATGGGAGCTGCAGTCCAAACTCCTTCAGGTTGTTAGCACTAACATCCAAAACTTCCAGCGTTGGGGGAATGCAGGTCGTTACTTCAGGAATTTGAGTGCTGGAGAGGTTTAAATATTTCAGGTTTTTTGGCCATTCGCATGCATCTGGAATCTCACCAAAATTGTTTTGGCTAATGTCTAAAACAATTAGGTTTCTTAGATGAGACAAACTTCTACCTGTCATTTCTAAGTCACCCAGTGAATTCTGACTTAAATTTAGAGTTTGTAGTAATGGCCAACCACCCTGACAGGCTGAATGCTCTAAACTCTGGTCTCCAAGCAAATTAGCACTAAGGTCAAGGTACTCTAATGACCGAAGATGTTGGGAAATTCTGCATGGAACCAAAAATACTTTGGTGTTTCGAACTGTGACTCTGGTAAAAAGAAATAGTAGATCTTGCACAGTCCGAAGATCTGTAAACAAGTAAAATTCTTCTATAGATAATTTCTGTATTGTGAGAACTCTAACTGTCTGTGATTGGTTTGCTTGAATCTGCATTTCCCATTGTCCAGTTCCCAAGAGTCTACAGTCTATTAGCTCCACCTCCACTAATTTTGGCATGTCTTCTAAAATGCTGACAATCTCAGGCACAGTAGCATCTGTTAATAAGGTCTGTTTAAAAGAAATTTTCTTTGCAAAAGAAGAAGACATGACTCTCAATAGTTGCATTTCAGCAGAGTTACTGAATGCTATTCTTCTCACTTCTAGCCAAGTCACAGAGTGCAGAAGGTCCCTAACAATTTCTGAGAATATATTAATATTTCTTAGGTTTATGACCATGTGATTTATCTTCTTAATCAATTTCAAACTTCCCTGCTCATACTGACTGAGATTACCACCATCAATCCACAACTTGTTGAGAAGCTCAATGCCCTCAAAGTTCCCTTGCCTTATCACAGAGAACCGTGGGTTGCCCAGGCGGAGAGAGCTCAGGTTCCTCAGACCAGAAAAGGGAGAGCTTTCTCCCAGGTCTCTGTAGAAATTGCCTTGAAGGTGGAGGTGCTGGAGCGAGAAAAGGTGCCCAAACCACACAGGGGACAAGTGAGCCAAGCTGTTATTTGATAAGTCCAAGAGCTCCAGTTTCGCCAGGGACTGAAACGAGTCTTCATCTATGGAGCTGATTTTGTTGGATTGCAGCAGCAGGGCTCTCAGGTTCACAGCCTGCTGCAGGTCCTGGGATCGGATGTGCTTTATCCTGTTGTGGGCCAGGTTTAACATTGTGATTTTGGCAGTGAGCCCTGGGGGAATGAAGTCCAAGCCCATGGAAGAGCAGTTGCAAAGCTGAGCATCACTGCATGAAGGACAAGCCTGCTTCAGCGCTTGCTGTTCAGAGAGGTTTGCAGCTAAGAGCATGTAGATGGCCCACACTTGCCAGCTGTGTTTAGTCATTATTTCACCTAAAATATGAAATACAGTCAGAGCAAATATAAGAGGGATTTGAACAAGGTACATTTTGGTTATATCTAAAATATAACTTTTACTGTTCTGTCAATACACTGTAAATATATATTTTTGTAACACAATTCAGAGATGAAATGGATCCATTAAAAAAGACATACTATTCACAAATATTTCAAAATCATTTGTTAAAAGCTATGTATATTGATTTTACTCTTTGTTTTTCCCCTGTGATTTCTAAATTTGACATGAAGACTATCAAATCAATTAACAGCTCCACAAATTTTTTGCAGATTCAGCTAAACATCTGTATCAGCACAACTACTCTCATCCTCCTCCTTTTTAGTACAGAGTCTTCATATCTCCCTGTTCTGTCCCACCTCAGGTCTTTTTTTTTCTTAGTCTGTGAATATTATTTTTACTACAGGGAGTCTCCTGTGTGTATTTCAAATCCTGATTACATCAAGAAGAGTCAGCATCTTACAGTACATAGCATCATTCACATTTGATACTAATTTCATGTCTAATGTCAATTCTGACAATGAGGAGAAGAGGAATGCCTTTGTTTCAGTCCATTCCTCGTTTTATCTGCCTTTCTCTACCTGCGGATGTGCTAGGAGCCGGGAAAAAAATACTCATAGGCCATCTTTATCATGTTGCCATCAGTCCAGTACTTGCTAATAAAACCTGAGCTTGTAAAACTGACCATTGTTGCCTACTGACTCTTAGCTCTTCCTTTTACTGCCACATCCTTCTTCTCTGCCAGTGCCTTTTCCTGTTTTGGACATCTGTGGCAGAGAGAAGATCAGGCCAAGCCACAAGGAAGAGCTGGGGTCTTTGGAGCCTCCTTCAGATCAGATCAGGTGTCTGAACTAGATAGCTTTTTCCAGCCCCACAGACTATTCCTGATCTTCTGGACTGAAATGATTCAAGAAAAGGTACACAGATGTGGATCCTGTGTCACTTTACTTTCCTCTCACAGTTGTGCCTTTTATAGTACTGATTTGGCATGGCTTTTTTTTGTTACAGAACTTGCTGCAATATCCAGCCCATCCTTACTCCCAATAAGGTGACTTTAGCTCTTCTATCCTTCTGAGGAGTTGGAAAAACAATTTTTGAAGCCTGAGAGAGCTCTTTTCCCTTTAAAACCCTTATTACATATTGAATTATAACCTTTTTTGACAAGGATCAAAGAACATTTTTAAAATATAACTTTCCCCCGTGTGTCACAAACCCCCCTACCTCAGTAGGTATCTTAGCAAGGTTGAAAAGAATGAACCAACCCCAAAGAGGCCAATGAACAGGTTCACAAAATCGTGAGCTATGTATTGGGTTAATCAGGTTAGACTGGCTCACTGAGAACTACTTTCTCCATTTGTCATCCCACCGAGATCTCCTGTACTTTGATTTAATATTCTGATTTGTTTTACAGTAGCTGACCCACACATACAAGTTCATATAGATAAGTCCTGCCCTTCCAGTTGCATTATTTTTAGCCATAGTTGCTTAAGATTATTCAAAAGTGGCAGAGTTGACTGAGATGGTTTGAGCATATGGAGAGGGGAGGAAAAGTTGTGGATAATTTTTTCAATCATTCCATCTCTTCCCACCTGGAGGACTATAAACATTTTGACCTCTTGTGTTATTTGCCTTTTATCTCTGTCTCTCTCTGATGGTCTTGAAGGACACAGTTGTCTTCCCTGTCTTTAGATGCCCACAGCTGAGCTAGTCATCCACCATGTCATCCAAAGTCAACGGAGAGAAATAACGTCTTTTAGGGGCAATTCTTATCACACGTCTTAGACACCCAGATTAAGATGTGATGAGTCTAAGAGAATTGGCCCCATTAACTTAAAATGGAGTACCATAGTTTAGATACCTAGATAATTTTCCTTGTGAATCCCACATAGAGAATTGTAATCTGTAGTTAGACTCATCTGCTGTCCATCTGAGGCTCTTTTAGAGGGCTTTTTTTGGTCTCACAAGTCTAACTGGATAACACAGTGCTGTAGGCTACAGGAGCAAAGCTACAGGTAACATGAGTTTCATCAGTAACAAATTCAAGTGGTATATTTATTGTTGCCATCAAAATGCTTACTGTTAGAAAAAGAAACAAACAGGTGACCTGATCAATCAAAAGCTATCTATAAATAGGTTATTTATAGGTGGTAAATTGCAGCACAGAAGGAAACTGGGAAGGTACTGCACAGGAAATACCAGCTGAGCCTAATGGCTCTTCACCTCACCAGCCTGAAAGTTCAGGATGCTTTTCTTTATTGTCGCTTCTGTGAGCTTCTTTTCCAGTTTTTTGCTCATCTGTTATCTGAGCAGACACTCAGAGAAATCCCATTCCCACCCTCATTCAGTTTTCAGCCAGTCTCTTTCCCTTCCCATTCATCTCTAATGATTCTGCTTAAGACTCTGACTTACAGGATCAATTCAGGCATTTCCACACCCACTCAGACATACAGTTCTATATCATTGCCCTAACAAGGAATCACTTTTTCCCCTTGTGCTGGTAACTAAAAAGCCACAGAGAAATTAAAATGCAACTAAAAATACAGAAACTTGCATAGATGCCATTATACCATAAGATGCTGTGATGAACCAGACATTCAAAACATTTCTGGGTTATGGAGAAAGGGTCCAAGCCATTAGACAGGCTCAGGACTGTCTTTGCTGGGCCATGTCAGTAGACATATTTGAGGAAATACGTGCATATTCTTAAACAAAACCATGACTGACAACAGAATGAGGTTCTATAAATGCTATCAAATGCAAAAGGTTAATGTAAGTGCAAATAATGCACAAATTGATTCTAGCTTGGGGAGCACTATCCAGGTAAATGTGGTAAATTTGAGCAGTGCTATGGACTCTGCAGTGGGATAGTCACCAGTTGGTGAAGGAGTCAAACTACAAGCAGACTGGGGAAAGTTGCTGCTCTCCACGTGGTTGTGTGTGGGTTACATGTGTGCATACACACATCCACACACATACATGGAAATGACTCTTCTTGTTTCCTACACAGAGAATGTGCAACAGGTCCGAGTTAGGTGAGGAGGTAGCTGAAGTCCTGAGGCCATTGTTCAATGAGCTCTTTCCTGGTTGAATTCCTGAAACCAAGGCAGCCCACCTTCACACCCAGCCTTCCCTGGGCAGCTGGTATCAATACACAAGTGGGACAACATACAAACAGGACAAAGTACAAACAAGGCACCCTCCCACAAGGAAATTGAGCAGAAATGACACAGTCTGACCCAATTTGTCTTTTTCATTTGCTGCTCTCCTCTCTCCCCTTTCCCAAAGGACACTGCTCCCATCAGCATGTCCCAGCTCTCCTGGCAAGTCTTCTTTGTTGCCTGCCTGCCATGCATAGCTGCCAGCTGCCTGTGACTGCACCTCCCTGCTCCACTTCTGCTGGCGACAGAAATCCCTCCCAACCCCACACTCGTTCTCAGCAGCCCTGAGCACCGTCAAACCCCCATGCAGAGATAGCCTCTTCCCAGTGCTCTCTCCTTGCTTCTTGCTCTGGCATTGCAGCTCCACTGTCTTTCCCTGCATCTCCAGCTTTCACCTACCTGAAAACTCACCTCTCTGCTGAAAAGATCCCCAGAGATGCCAGCTCCAGCTCTGGTGCCTGCATGCCAGTTAACCCATGTTGTGTTTCATCTCTCTCTTGTTGATCATTCTTTACCCAGCTTCCTCTTATGCTGCTGTTTCATTTCCACTTCACCTTTAAACCTTGGTAATGTGAGCAGGGGAATTCCCACCTAGGTGATCTGATTGGCATAAAAGCAGGAACACTATCACTCCTTTTAAAATGTGCCAACCCAAAAAAGCCTGGGTCTATAGTACGAGTGTACCATATGAAAACTAAGGTTTCTCCTACATCTCTCTGACTCTCTCTTTGTAATGACCGGCAAGACTTATTTCCCTTCTTACCTCTAGGTACACAGTCTCCTAATATGTTTTATCAATACTCATTGTTTGCTCTCAGATGATTCACTCACCACCTACCTGGAGTTCAGCCTTGACTAGCTACTGAGCTATTTTTCTCCAAGACAGTGAGCAAAAAACCCCTTTGTAGCAGATTTTAGACTGCCCCTAGAGACAATATTATAACAGGAAAGTAGAACTGAAAGTGGTGTTTGCAGGCTACACCCACAGAAACTACCACCTCATGTGTAGATATGTGTGCAGATACACACAGGAGTGTGAATATATACACATGTATAAGCACATACACATATATATGCATATGAACAAGTATACTAACAGACATGTCTGTATAAGCAAATTTTGCTATTTTTCAAATACTCGCTCAGCCCGTCTGCCAATGCTTTGGTTTATCACCACAAAATAATTGCATATCCAAAGTTTAACCAAAATTCATCTAGACTCTCCTGTACTTAAACTCCAGCAATACAAGCAAAGGGGAACATGGAAGTGCCAAGGTAGAGAAACCACACCTAACTTAATCCCCTCAGAGACAATTTCAGGTTCCCATAAGAACGTCTAAACCACAAGAAATCCAGGCACTCAGAGTGTGACCAGCTATCTTAATATAAACATCTGTATCTACCTGCTTGTCTGGACTCCCTCTGTAATTGGTGAAGAGCAATACAGTAGATCTAGGAGATGTCTCATACTGAAGTACAGAGAGGAACTACCTCTTGTCAGTGTGATTTTCTTCAACCTCTAGAAAGGAAGTTAAGTAGAGCAGTAAGGGGTTCATGGCCTAGTGATTACATAAATGTGCTCTGCGAAGCAGAAGAGCAAAACCAAGAAACGAGACAGTCTGCAACATCATCTAGCCCACACATTAGAAACACAGGTTCATATTCCACAAATAGAAGGCTTCAGCTATCTCTGGGGGTAGGTAGAAGGGAAAATGGTGGTGACTGCAAAGGGACAAACAAGCATTCACAGGAAGGGATGGACACAGGAGAGTATTGATTGAAGTCCTTGGCTTTTAATTTAAATTGTAAATTGCAGTGGCATTGTTAGAGACGAGTTGGGAATAGTGGTAAGAGCAGAAAAAAGTACAGAAATACCCTACAGTCAGCTAAATGTATTCAGAAAAGTATATATAGTCCAATATAGCTTCCAAATATTATAGTTATTGGCAGAGATTTTGAAAGACCAGAGAATCAGATTACTGGAAAGCAAAAAGTGGTCCTTTTTCAGTGAGTAACATGACAATTCTTTCTACACACAACAAAGCCAGCTGTATTTTGAGAGAAAAATAAGACAAAAAAATTCTTAGCAAGAAGAAACACTGACATAGAGCCTTTTGCAGACATACGTTGAAATGGGAGCTGCTGAGTTCTTCTATGACTTCAACACTCTTTTCAGGTTTGCCCAAAACATCTGCTGCTGCTCTTCTTCGAGAGACCACTCCAGGTAGGTCTTTGTGTTCATGATCTTCCGCAGCTTGCAGAACCTCTTGGGAATCGTTTTGCTCTGGATGGGCTCCAGGAGGACAAGAATCACCGCATCGTTGTTCTCATCAAAGAGGCGGAAATGTGAGAAGTCCAGCTCGTATTTGCACCACTCGCTCTGCACAAAGTGCTCGGACAGCACAAAGAGCGTTTTGTGGCTCTTCTCAATGGAGTCAATGATGTTGTCCACTATCCACTTCCCAGGCACAAAGTCCCGCTTATGGAGGCAGAGGCGAAAGGGAGGGCAGGCCTGCTCCAGCTCCCGCACCATTACGTTTTCCACCCAGTTGGAGTCGTTCTCACTGTAGGAGACAAAAGCGTCATAGCAGATGTCCTTTGGCGGGGCTCGCTTGGGCTTCCGCTTGGCTTGGAGCCACGCCCAGGTCATCCTCAGGTACCAGACCGCGTGGTACTTGTAGCCAACAGCTACAAGGATGAGGATGACCAGGAACACCAGGATGCAGATCGATGACACCACGAGGGACCTGTGGCACTCCATCAGGGAGAGGTGTACAGCTCCAACCTGGGCCCCTCTCACCGCCAGCGGAGAGTCACAGACGTACTTGTCTGGCCACCCCACCAGCACTTGGGATATCCCAGCCTGGTGGTGGATGAAGGAGAGGAATTCACAGGAGCAGATGAAGTTGTTGTCACTGGCATCCAGCAGCTCCATTCTCTTGAAGGACTCAAACTCTTCCTTGGAGAAACTGTTGAGCTTGTTTCTCCTGACTGACATGACCACTAAGTTTGGAATGGGTGCAGCACCAGGCAGGGTCTTCAGCTGGTTTTTTGTGAGGTACAGCTCTTTCAGAAATGGGAGCTGCAGTCCAAACTCCTTCAGGTTGTTAGCACTAACATCCAAAACTTCCAGCGTTGGGGGAATGCAGGTCGTTACTTCAGGAATTTGAGTGCTGGAGAGGTTTAAATATTTCAGGTTTTTTGGCCATTCGCATGCATCTGGAATCTCACCAAAATTATTTTGGCTAATGTCAAGATTATTCAGTTTGGGTAGACGAGATACATATTTTGCAGTCCATTTCAGAGATTTTAGAGAGTTTTGACTTAGATTTAATGTTTGCAGTGAAGGCCAGGCATCTTTACAGATTGTCTCATCTAAACGATTATTTACAAGCAAATTATCATTGAAGTCTAGATACGTAAGTGATGAAAAATGTCTTGCAAGCTTGCATGGTACCATGAAAACTTTAGAGCTTGCAATAGTGAGTCTTTTCAGTTTGTTTATTTGTGACTCCATACCTTCTAGGTCAATAAACAGATGAAAATTCGGAATCATTACATTTATTATTGATATTGTTTCAACAAAACTTTGCCCACTGCTTGTAATTCCTTTAGTGTCCCATACACCCCTCCCATCAAGCACACAATCTATTGCCTCTAACTCTCGTAAAGAGGTGATTTCCTTCAATAATACCAATAATCGGCTAATAGACTGGTCTGTGAAGAAAGCATCTTTACACGTAAGTTTTTGCATCCTAAAAGGACGTGTAGAGTTCTGCACCAAGCTTTTTATTTCAACTGCTAATTTGATTTCTCTCACTTCTAGCCAAGTCACAGAGTGCAGAAGGTCCCTAACAATTTCTGAGAATATATTAATATTTCTTAGGTTTATGACCATGTGATTTATCTTCTTAATCAATTTCAAACTTCCCTGCTCATACTGACTGAGATTACCACCATCAATCCACAACTTGTTGAGAAGCTCAATGCCCTCAAAGTTCCCTTGCCTTATCACAGAGAACCGTGGGTTGCCCAGGCGGAGAGAGCTCAGGTTCCTCAGACCAGAAAAGGGAGAGCTTTCTCCCAGGTCTCTGTAGAAATTGCCTTGAAGGTGGAGGTGCTGGAGCGAGAAAAGGTGCCCAAACCACACAGGGGACAAGTGAGCCAAGCTGTTATTTGATAAGTCCAAGAGCTCCAGTTTCGCCAGGGACTGAAACGAGTCTTCATCTATGGAGCTGATTTTGTTGGATTGCAGCAGCAGGGCTCTCAGGTTCACAGCCTGCTGCAGGTCCTGGGATCGGATGTGCTTTATCCTGTTGTGGGCCAGGTTTAACATTGTGATTTTGGCGGTGAGCCCTGGGGGAATGAAGTCCAAGCCCATGGAAGAGCAGTTGCAAAGCTGAGCATCACTGCATGAAGGACAAGCCTGCTTCAGCGCTTGCTGTTCAGAGAGGTTTGCAGCTAAGAGCATGTAGATGGCCCACACTTGCCAGCTGTGTGTAGTTCCTGATTTGTTTTTTTTTTGTTTGGACATTTTGCTGTAGGAAACAGAAAGGAGAGAAAGTAATGTCAAATTTTAGTGTTGAACAGTAACAGAAAACTATTGAAATCCTGTGCAACTTTATTAGTAACCTCAGATTAATTATTTTATTTGTAAGAGCTATCCGTGATGCAGTTTTCCTCTCCTACTTCAGCTACGAGTGTGAAGCAAACAAACTTGGTGTGCTGCTCATCTCTGGAGTACAGCCATATCACATCTCAACAGCCATAAAGGATGTTTCTTAGCCCCACCTTTTCATATGCATGCTGACTATGGCTCTTGCCTCTTTCATCTCTGTCAGCAAAGAAGCTACAACTGAATGTTTCAGCCCTAAACGGGGGAAGATGGTTAGATCACCAATGAATTGGACAAGAGGATCAAGTGCACACTTTGTCAGTTTGCAGACAACACCAAGTTGGGTGGGAGTGTTGATCTGCTGGAGGGTAAGGAAGCTCTATAGAGGGAACTGGATTAGATGGTATGAGGCTCAACAAAGTGAAGTGCCATGTGCTGTGGTTGGGTCACAACAACTCCATGTAGTGCTACAGTATGGGGGAAGAGTGGCTGGAAAGCTGTCCAACAGAAAAGGATCCAGAGGTGCTGGTTGACAGCCATCTGAACATGAGCCAGCAGTGTGCCCAGGTGAACAAGAAGGTCAATGGCATCCTGGCCTGTATCAGAAATAGTGTGGCCAGCAGGACCAAGGCAACGATTGTTCCCCTATACTCAGCACCGGTGAAGCTGCATCTTGAATCCTGTTAAGCCCCTCACTTCAAGAAAGACATTGAGGTACTGGAGCATTTCCAGAGAAGGGCAATGAGGCTGCTAAAAGTAAGTTTTTTGAGGACCAGCTGAGGGAGCTGGGGCTGTTTAGCCTGGAGAACAGGAGGCTCAGAGGGGACCTTATTACTCTCTGCAACTACCTGAAAGGAGGCAGTAGTCAGGTGGGGGGTCTCTCTCTTCTTCCAGGTAATAAGTCACAGGACAAGAGGAAATGGCCTCAAGTTGCACCAGGGGAAGTGACAATTGGATAATCTAATTGGATATTAGAAAATATTTCTTCACAGAAAGTGTGGTCAAGCACTGGCACAGGGAAGTGGTGGAGTCATCGTCCCAGAGGTATTTTAAAGACATGTAGACGTGGTGTTTACAAATGTGGTTTACTGGTGGACTTGGCAGTGTTTGCTTAATGGTTGGACTCAATGATCTTAAGGGTCTTTTTGAATCAAAGTGATTCTGTGATTCTATGGTTCCAAATGCTCACAGTCTTTACAGCGTCAACCTGCCCGTTTTGAATGGCTACCTGGCAGGCAGAAGCCTGAAGACAGCATGTTCCCCTTTCCAGCCCTTTGACTGGGGTATGGCTTCCAACACCACAAAGTTTCCTGGAAGGGATCTGGGTGTTCCCAGCACAGAGTCTCACCAGCCTCAGTGCTTCTAAAAGCAGAGCTGCATAGACTACTGCCACACCCTTCTGTACACTGTGCAAGCAATTTACATTCTTTGCTGGAAAGGTAGAACAAGCTGATATGCAGTGAAACAAGTCTATCACTCTTTTCTGTAAAACAACACCATTAATGGATGGGAATTGGATGTTACCGTCACCCTATAAACACTGGATGTAATTAGAAAAAGACTGATTTTAAAGTAAAGAAAGGCTGTGTTTCATGCCAAAGGGACGAAAGAACAGGTCACCATTGTGACGCTCACAAATTTTAACTGTAAACAGCTCCAGGACTACAGACCAACAGTATCCAGAAGCCCCGAATAAGCAGAGGTTAAGTACTTACCTTGTGTACTGCGTGCTGTACTTTATTCTCCTCATGTGCTGATCATGCACTCTGGCATCTGAATGGTCACCTCATCTCTGTAAACGCAAAGGTGGAAATGTTCGGCAGGTCAGATGAGGCGACAGTCCTGAAGCGACAAAATATTTCAGCCTGTTCTCAAACAAAACTTTATGTTCACAGTTTCCCAGCGTCCTTTAACAATTCAGTCAGTGAAGCATACCAGTTTGCACAGCTTCTCTTTAGTGGAGGCTCCTCTAAGGAAATCAGGGCTTCTGAAGATTTCAGGATTGCCCGGCATGCAAGGTGTGCCCTTCAAACTCCCATTTCAACCAATTCTATTGCTGCGGCAGACTGGGGTCACAAAAAGGAGCACAGGCTGTGGTTGCTTTCTCTTCTTTGCAAGATGAAATTCAGCTTTGCAAGCTTTTGTCAGTCAACTCCTATTACTGGAAAGGCTGATTCAATCATTTTGCGCAAGTCATTCTTTCATAATCACTTCCTCCAATATTAAGTGCAGAAATAGTTCCTAGGCAGAACTGCATGCTCTCTGTATCTCTAGTTTCAATACTTGTTGTTTGGTAGGCACTGGGACATTGCTTACTGTGCTGGGCAACAGAACATCTCAGCATAACAAAGTTATTATTGTGTAAGTTCTGTAAAATATTATCAATATATAGAGTAATACATATATTATAGTGCTATAAGTGTTGGAGTCAAAATGTTTAGCCAAGGAGAGTACTAGAGAAACACTGAGCATATTTAATTTCCTAAGACACTGCAGTCATATGTTGTCAACAAATAGAAAATGTGTAAGAATGGGAATAATATTCTGTCTGAAACACAAGATACAATTTGAAGAAAGCATCCCTCTGCAAACATTAAAAGCAATTTTGAGAGAGGAGGTTTGAACAGAAACACAGAATTGGTAAAATAGCCAAGCATGCTGTTTACATAAAGGGGGAGGGATTCTTCCTACCAGCTCTGAAAGGGAAATCAATTAAATTCAAACACCAAACATTCCTACTTTCCACTTTGTTTCCTGTGGTCAGAAATTGTCACAGTCTGCTGCCCTCTTGCACCAAGAAGTACCTGCCTGAGAGCAGACAGACAGACAGACTGATTCCTGCCATATGTCAGAGGGCCCACAGCAGCACCTCTGTGTTCAACAGCCCACAGAGAGCCCAAGTGTGCCTAGCAACCTTCAGTCCTGCACTGACATAAGCACTGCACATTAGGTTAAGAACTCGTCGCTTTTCAAAAAAAAAGAGGATAGCTGATAAGCATAACAACATTGTAAAACAGAGGCAAAGCAGCTATGAGGCACAGCCAAGAAGGGAAATGGTCGTTACGTAAAGGGATGTCATCAACTTCCCCAAAGCCACCTCTTCCCTCTAGCACCTCTCAGCTGACATGGTTCTTGTTCTTCAACAGGGAAGACTTTCAGTTTTCACCGTGTTAATTCAGGGTTCAATTAGACTATATATTTTTGTCATCAAAATTGCAACTCCTTAATAAAGTTAAATAATTTTAGTTCAATTTGTGAAGAGCTTTGGAGAAGGAGACCATCAATGAGGCCACGTACATCATTGAATGTAAAATGGACACTCTCTTCTATTTGTTACAGTTTCTTCACCACACATTCAGGGAGACTTGAGGTAACTGCCTGTTTTTTCAGAAGTAACAACTTTCTCCTAACATCCAGGCTTAGCCAGCTCTCATCATGGCTGTACACTGGGCTAGGTTTCTCTCGGAAAGAGAAGATGGATGTGACCATGTCACAACTCACAAACCAAGCAGTTAATTTCATGAAGCTGCTTAAAAAGCCAAGAAATTTGCGTGGGTCTTCTGCTTGTTTCCCTTAGTAGGAAAAAAAGTCTAAAAGCAGCACAGCTTCTGTCTATCTCTCTCTCTCTCTCATTCCAGGTCAATTTATCAGGATTTATCATGTTATTCATAGTCAGGAGGGTCCGAGGATGCTCAAGGTGGCCAGAAATGCCCTCCACAAAGCTGCCCCCCACAAAGAGGCAAGGTACCAATCACCTGCCTCCCAGAATATCAGTTTCCACATTGAACTGCAGCATGACTCAAAAAAACTTCTTTTGAAATCAAAGAGTCCGAAGTAAGAGAAAACTGTTGTCTTTTAAGGTAAGAATACCCTTCATCAGCTTTTTCTCCAGAATAACTGCATGTTCAGCATTGAACAAAGTTGTACCTTGTGGGTGCTTTCTCTCCTCCTCCAAGTTTAAGCTATGATTAACCTTCCTCTTTTAGTCTTTAAAAAAAAAATCACATGCCTTCAACTACATTACTTTTTCCCAACGGAAGTGCACAGATCTGCAACAAGTCTGAGCTTTTGTAACTGCACGTTTTCCAAGCAGAGACACCACACAAGCCTTTGCCACCAGGTAGATAGGGCTAAGATAGAGATGTGGTCATCATTTTTGAATCTTTCTCTAAATGTTTCTGTTTATCCAACAGCAGCAAAAGCAGCAGATGTTTCTCTCAGCCAGCTCTTCCCTCATCCCCAGCTACAAACTGTTCAGCATCCCTGCTTCCCACTGCTCAATGACAGGTCCCTGCATTGGCTCTGCTGGCAGAGGGACAGGCTCTTGTCACAACCCTTCTCCATCAGCAAACTGCTGCTTTGCCACAACCCTTTTCCACTAGTAAACTGCTGCTGTGAGAGAGGGCAGCAACCAGTGAGGAAGGGCTATATTAAATGAGTGTTGACCAAAATAAATGTAGAAACAAATATATATATATTTGTCTGTGTGTGTGTATATATGGGACCAAACCACATAGGGATGGACTTGTTGATCAAAAACCACAAACCAAGTGGCAACACTAGTCCTCAGTCAGTCTACCATCAGAGTTAGAAGGATTATTTCACTGCTATATCCCCACTGCCTCCTCTTTATGCGTATGTTTTTTTACTCAGGAAGCATGACTTTACGATGGGACTCCAGTTGCTAGATTTCTGCAGCCCTCTCCCCTCTGCCAGCTAGAGGTACAGACTGCTCCATCTTCTGCAGTCTGTGGGCATGTACCCTTTAAGAATCACCTCCCCAGTCTCACGAGAGGATCCTGCAGCCTGTCCTTTCCCTTCCTCTATTTCCTCCTCAGTGTCAGTATGCACACTCAGAGCTGCTTGTTGCTTTTCTGCTGAGAAAGAACAAGTGAGCAGTGCAGAAGGGCCCCAACTCAGGCAACACCCCACCTCAAAGAGAAAGCAGAAGCAGTAGAAAAGGGAATCAGCGCACTAATCCATTGACCAGTCTGTGATATGAGCAGAGGTGCATTCCAGATCTTTGTAAGTAGCACAAAACTGATTCCTGATACTTACCCCTGGTAACCAGGATGTGTCAGCGTGTCAGCTTGGTTGCAGCGGTGCCAGGCAGACTGAACCTGGGGTTCTTTTACCTTAATCCTCACCGGAAATGGATGCCAAGGAAAAGCCAAAAGTCAAATCTGTGACTCCAGTCTTTGGAGCAGGAGGTATAATATTCATGTAATTGAAAGCAGAATGGCTTGGTGTCCTTTCACAGTCCTGGAAGCAGAACCTTGACATGCACTGGTGGTGCCTGTGCTTTAATATGACTTGCAGGGCTTCGGGTATTCCTTTTCAAACTAAAATAAAAAGGAACATGATAATGAAAAATAAACAATTTTAGCTTTGTCATATTCCATATCAGGCCTACCCTGCCAGCTGCTCAATCTCCTAGTTATATCTATTTAAACTGAAAGTTTAAATTCAAAGGAGCTGATTTCGTTTGTTTTTCTTCTGGGCAATCCTTTCTTCTAGGCAATGCAGTTGTGGCAGAGCAAGATAATTCTGTGTAACTGGTTAGTCATTCAACAGCCAACCTACAGGACTGCCTCTGCCAAGGAAGCAGTTGTTGATTTATTTTTATCATATCCTTTTATTTTTATCATATCCTTTTTATCATATCCAGTCAGAAAAACATGACACTGATTTTCTGCCTTAACCAAAGTGCAGCTAGCAGGGAAGTTTGCAGGCTAAGACATCAAAGCTTATTCTAATAATATGGAAAGTTTCATTTGTCTAGAATAGTTGTCTCAGCATGACTCAACAAGAGAAAATATGTCATTTCTGCCAAAGTATTCCTGATGATTTCTTGACTCTCAAGGAAACTGCATCAACAGAAAGCAGCCTACATGCAAGGCAAAGCTGGACGATGCAGTTTCTTTCTTACTTTGCAGTTTAGGTGGAGTGAAAAAATTTATTTCTGACAGGAACATTATGATTTTACATTAATACACAGTAAATTCATATTTTCCATTACTACAAAGTAAAAAAACCCCAAGTATTGACCCCCTATTCTGAAGACCACTATGACAAACACACAAAATCCTGTTATCATCACTGCACAGATTTGTTACTCCAAAATGAGAACTCTGAGACAATTCACACAGAACAGGCCCCCACAACTATTGCAGCTCACTCCCCCAGCTGTCATGGGGCTGGACGCCAGTCAAACATGTTCATGAGTAGCTCAGCCACACACAAACGCTGGACACACACTGGGATCAATGGCACCAGTGTCTGGCATGGGGCTCCCTGGCATGCTGCAGAGTGTAAGGTAAGATACAAAGCCAATGCGAACAACTGACCATCTTCCTCAGTGCATATGTTGGAGAGGTCTGTCTGGAAATATATCTGGTTGAGTATAACTTCCTCTGAGCACCACCCAGAGCTTCCTGCATCCCTTTGGAAGGGATCCAGCTCCCAGAGAAGATACAGGGATGGGAACCACATGTGGAGGCAGGTACCCAAGACCCACGCTGCTCAGAGCAGCCTTGACCTCAGCTTTTCTTACAGACCACCTTGGCTGCACCAGCCCTTATACTTCCCATATTCACAGTCCTGGATTTCCATAGGCACTCCAGAGAAAGCCTAATCAAGCCGTGGGACTCAGAAACCTGAAACATACATGTTACAGTACTGGGATGTCAGAGGGTAACCCAAATGTACTTGGACAGATAGGCACCCAGCTTGCTGCCACTGGGGATTCATCCCCTAAAAACAGGCGTAATCTGGAAATCATATTTTCTTCTAAAATATTTTCTGCAATTTTCATGCTGTTAATTGGTTCAACATTATCAATGCACAAAGCTAGTTCTTAAGATTTTTTTTAGAGATTTTCAGGAAATACCTCTATGTAGCTTTCCCAAGTACCACTCACAGAGTATTTTAAAGGACTTTTTTTAATTTGCACTACATCTATCTCACTCTTTCGTGTTGATTACTTTGCTTTGCTGTATCCCAGACTATACGACAGCCCATCTGTTACGGGCTGCCCAGAGAAGTATTAGGAAACCTAAACCACATTTCCAGTTTAAAAAAAAAAAAAAAAAAAAAAAAAAAAAAGAGGTGCCATTCCTATTTCCAAACAAAGATTTTGCAGGTTTCTGGGCAGAGCCGCAGAAAACACTATGGCTCTGGGCTGCCTGCAGGCACCAAACCTGCCTATGCTGAGACAGCGCTGTCCCCCCAGTGCATCCCCGGCCATCGGGGCTGCTGTAGGTACCCCAGGGTTGGAGTCCTCAAGTACTTTACAAGGCACAGGCTACAGGGGGAGGGGGTCAGTTTCTGCTTCATTTCAGCTCACCGGGAGAGAAAATACCCTGTCATGGCCCATCGGGTGCAAGCCATCACTGGCAGGGTGTTGTGAGGAAGTTAGGGTTTAGCATCCTGGCACTGGAATTTCCCATCAGGAGGAAAAAAGTTTCACTCAGCTCCAAGTAAAAGCTCCTTCAAAGGAGGCTGGGCAAAGGGACATGCATGTGTCATTTCAGTGCATTTCAGGGTGGGAAAGGTTCAGCAAACCTTGTCTGGCCTCATTCAGAGGAATGCATGGATACGTTTCTTGCTTATGCCTATCTAGTGCTAATATGCTGGGAAACTTGCTTTCATTTTCCACTGTTTTTGGTGTTGTGGGTTTTTTTCTTTTCTTTTTTTTTTTTTTTTTTAAGGGAAGGGAAACATTGCTGGGAATGGGACCAAGTCATTGCAGAAATAGCTAGAGTTTGTTTCCTGTACAGAGGTGGAAAACACTTTGCTGGGATGCAGAGATATATATTTAACTGCTTGTTATATATAAAAAAATCATGTTTAACAGTTGGGCAAGAATCTGAGCAGGAAATGAAGCAGATCATTATCATGTACCATTAAAATATCAAGATTTTGTATTCATTCCAGAAAAGACAATCTCAGGATGTATTTTGCACAGGTAGTTTAGGCTTTGCATTCAGCTACTGCCTCCCTCTGTATCTGATGTCACGAAATATTTCAGACATGATAATGGATTTCAGAAAAAGAAAACAAGTAAATTTTAAATCTTTTTTTCCAGTTATTCAAGATCTCAGAAGGTCTTTCTTCAGTGTAGCTACTCTTCTGGATTTATAGCCTATCAAGGCCCCATATTTTTTTAAAAAAGGAAAAAAATCTAATGCACTATTTCCTAGATTTTTTCCAGTGGAAAAAATACATGTTTTGTGAGTTTCCTGCAGAGATTATTTCTATTGTCTTCTTTTGCAATTGTATAATTTTTTAAACAAACTTTGACTATAACAGAGTTGTAAACACCCATGAAAACATAATTTTTACTAAAAATGAAAAGCCTAAGTATAAAAAGATGTCAGTAAGTATTTGAAAAGCGCATGTGCTCCCTGGTAGGCCACTAAACCATCTTCAAATAATAAGATATTTCCAATATCTGACCATTCTCTAACTTTCTGAATTTGAACATGATTGGAAACAGACATTCCAAGCTGATTTACAAGCACACACTCAGCTATTTTAATCATTCCTCCTAAATTATCCTCAGATTGCATTCCTTGCTCTTCTGTAGGTTTTCTTGAGTATAACAGTACCAGCTTAGTAATGACAGATTCAGAAAAGGCCATGTAATTTGTGCCTGGGCTGCAAGACGGTTTTTTGTCTTTAGCACAGTACCTACAGAAAGAAACACACCATACCAGGGGATCAACCTCAAAACCGAGGTGGTTTTCAACTTTGAGTTTAATTCCTCTCTAACATCCCAAGTGAGTTACCTGGATGTGCCACGAAGAGCATGGCTGTGCTGCGGCAATGCAGGTACGGCCGGGATGGCCAGGAGATGGCTGTGGCAAACCCCATCGCAGCTGAGCATGCTGTCCCACGCTGACCCACAGGGGTGGATTTAGTCGACAGCTGTGATGGGAAATGCTTTGCTTTGCTTTCTTCAGGTTTTGTTTCAGCCCAGCGGTTTCTGGCTGGTCATGGTGTACGATTGAGGAAAGAGACCACAGGCTGGGCAGCAAGGCACGGACTTGAGAGGGAACAGTCCTTTTCTAGAAATCTCCCATTACTTCAACAGTGATGGGCCAGAAACACTGCTGATGTTGTAAGCCTTTTAGCAGGACTTAGGAACTCCAGCAGAGACTAAACCCCTGGTGCAATAGGTAATTACAAGTGCAGGGCAACAGAAAAACCAAAAAAATCCTGCTCTTCACTTGAGACCAAGCAAGAAACTTACATGAAGATTCAGAGGGTTGTAGTAATACTAAAAAGACTTTTGTAGATCTCTAATAAGTGTAGGATGCATGGTAACTCATGCTTTCAAGTAATTTGCTCTGCAGTTCATAGCTTTTGGACAGAAAAGTTGTCAAAGGAAGAGGAATCAAAGAAAATATAGGTAAAAAACCAGTAAAAATAATGAACTTCCATCTCCATAGCTGCAACTACAGGACAAGAATAAGTTGGTTCAGAGATAACCATAGGGTAATAGAATTTGTCTACCTTACATCTGCTCTACTATGAGAAAGAGCAACAGATTAGATGCACCCTCTTACCTTTGATCAGTTCAGGCCATATTCCTTCAACACTTAACACCATGAAGTTTGCACCTGTGAACACAAGAAGATCTTTGTTTCTTTGGGTCTTATTATCCAGTGTTTAAGAACTTTTACCCAACAGGCTGGCCACCTGGTTTGTTTTCATCTTATAACTTACACAAGTGTCAGCATAAATATTCTTTTCTATTTATAGAAATTATGTTACATTTGCACTTCTTTCATGTGCTATTTTTATGACATCATTTGACATTAATTTCCTGTATGTTCCATGATTAATAGTTTCAACAAATTTCCCTTAAAATCAGCCTTCAGAGTACTTTATTTCTCTGTGTTTGAATCCTTGAACTCTTTGTTCCCAGCTAACATCCAGCACCAAAAGCCCAAGCAAAGCATACTGAGATGCATAATCCGCTGTTGAGAGGAATCTTTCTTGGTCATCTCTCCGGTGTCTCCATGCTTCCATCTGACAGTGTCCTCTCTGATATTTGCAAAGCCTTCCAGCTGAATAGAGTCTTTCGAGAGTCACTAACAAAAATGCAATGAATAATGGGAGAAGGGATGGATGAAGTGAAGGCTGGCCGGACTCTCCTCCCCTACTGTTCAGAGGTCTAAACTTTTCTGTAAAATAAGTATTTCTCACATTTGTCATGATGAAACACAGCCTGTGAATGAGTTTGGCTTGTTCTCTGTTTCTGCAGGTGGAGAAATCCTGTATCCAGGCTGGGCAGCCCTTTCCTTTTCAGGGGGGAACTCAGCAAGGAGCCGACAAGCTGGTTTGCTGGACAAGAAACCTGTGAGCTCATAACTTCTCACCAAGTAACAGGACAACATTGATACCAGTAACTCAGTCTGGGTGAGTCAGGTCTGCAACTGGATTAAGGAGCCAGGGAACATTTCCATCTGTTTTGGCTCCTTGTGTCTAAACAGCCTGCCGTCCATGAAGGCATCGCTTTGTGCTCTGCTCTGCTTTTTACTCCTTGTAGGAAGGCCCCCAGCCCCATGGTCCCCCCCAGCCCCCAGGAACGCCACCAGTCATAAAATAATCCCTCTCCAATTGCTCTCCCTAACTGCTGGCACAACGACGACTACATACACTGCCAAAGTTAACAAGCAGGCACATTAATCCCTCCTCTTGTTAGAGAGTCTTTCCAGACCTGCCTCAGCTTTCTGCTGGTGGCTGCCTATAGAGGCATGTTTGTCCCAAGGTGATTCCTTATAAGCCTACCTGCAGGAGAACACCAAATGAGCACCTAATCCGAAAGGACTGAAGCACTCGGAGGCAAGGGATCAACTGTGCCGTGCGGCTGGCTCTTTCATTTGCAATTTTTCATTCCTGTGGTTTACTTTGGCTGCTCGTCCTTGGTAAATATTGTACAACACTGAAACCAGGAAATACCCAAAATAAATAAAGAAATGGGCAATGACTATTAGATCTTCCTTTGTCTTCTGAAGGACAGCGTTAGTCAGATCAGATTCTTGCCATCTAAAGAAGAGTAAAACCTCCCTGGGAAGTGAAGGACACCTCCAGCAGGGAAGGCAGGGATGGGGGAGTTGCTGGCCTGGTGCAACCATGCTACACTTGGTTGCACAATCCTTTGGAATTCGAAGGTGGAGCAAAAGGCGTAGCCCAGCTGCCCTGAAGGCATGAGGAAATGAGAGGCTCACTACCATGCCTCAGAGCTGTCTCTGTCCTGTTTTGTCCTTAAAGGCTTGCACTTCCCACTCCAGAGTTCAGTCAGAGGTTTTCCTTCCCCTCCCACACTTGCTTTTCCCTATAACTTCTGGTGTGCAAGAAAACAACTTTGTAGATAAAGCTGTGCCTTTAGTGGTGTATTTACTCTGCAATTAGATGAACCTCTAGTGCATTTTAAAGGGGAAATCAGATAGCCAAGGTTTCAGGGCCATCTGTCTGCAGTAGGGTTTGCACCCTCCTTGTTCTATTTCCTCTCCTCCAGAGCAGAAAGCCAGAAAATGGGGCAGATGAGAGGCAACAAGATCACCTAGATCCCCGTCCCCACCAGTGGGAAAGGAGCTGAGAGCTGGATCCCTACAGTCACATGCATCTAATCTACCCTGCACATTTGGTGGGCAGCACGAGTCTGCTCCTCCATACAGAGACACTGGCTTTGCCTGGCTCCAGAGAGCCGTAACCTTCTGTCCGAGAGGGCTGTGACAGAGGGAAATCACCAAGACAAGCTGTCGCCATTGCTCCTTTTCCTACAATAAGCAGGACACATACAGAATTTTGAGGCAGATACACCATGACTGCTCCACTTTCATAGCAGAGGGGATTTTTTTTTTTAACCCAAGGGCTCCCTAAACCTCTGTAAATGCTCCTACAGCTGAGATAGAAACCAAAATGAGATGCTGCTTCTGGACAAGCTTTCTGCAGGAGCCAGGTGATTAGGAACTGGATTAAGCTGTGTAGAAAAGGTGGGCAGAGAAGATATGAACAAGAGCTTAACCACAGGACACTGTCAGAGATGGCTGGTATCAGCTGTGCTGAGACATCCTGAGCATACTCAGAAGCAGACATAGAGGTGCAACAGGAATTGTGGTATCCAAACCCTAGGGTATCCAGATATCAGTGTCAGTTGTATACGGAACACCCAAAAACTAAATGCTAAACACTCACATGTCTGAAGGGGCAGCAGGATCCCAAATTTTGCCCAAGTCTCTGTCTTGGTTGTGACTGCAGTAGGACTGTGTTGTCTAAATCTTAAAGCACATTATGAATGTCACTGCTGTTGCTGATGTCACTGATGTCTACCATACCATACATCTACCTACCAAAAGAAAGTTGACATTCTTTCCTTCTCTCTTTGTTGTGGGAGATACATTAAGGTCTAATGGGTAAGATGAAATTCAAGGAAAATATCCCTGCCACAGATTTTTTGCACAATTTTTGGTGGTGACATTGTCATTCAGCTTCATACACAGGGCTCCTAGAAACTCAGCTCTAGCCTGTTTTGGTGGGGAATGCAGAGGAAGGGTATCATTACTGGATCCAGAGATTTCCTAACTGTGCTTACATTTCCCTCTCCACTGCCAAAAATATGCTTTTCAATAAAGCTAAGTAAAAGGTTAGACTTCCTAAAAACAACCATTCACGTAACACACAAACCAGGAAACAAAAGAGAAGCCCATATCCTGGGAAGCCAAGTTTCAGTAAGGTAAAAGGGGCCAAGAGTCATGGCACACACAGCAGCATTCCCCTCCATTAGCATTGGATTTGACTTACAGAGCAGAGCAGCAAGGCAGTGAAGAGATACAGACTGTAAACCAGTGTTTAGTGCTTGTGGAAAGCAGAAGCAGCTGTTGTGCAGGCAAACTCAGCAAAGTCAGCAACTTGCATAGGAGCAAGCCTTAACTCAACTGTAACTCTAAAACAGTGTGGACTTTGAAAGGTTTATTCCAGTTTGTGAGAATAAATTGTACAACTGGAAAACAGTTTTCGGAATAAATTGTACAACTGAGGCTAGTTTTTGGAGTGTGCACTAGCTGGCACACAACATTTCCACCTGCTGCTAGGCAGCATTGTGGTTCCCGTGGGCTCAGTCATCTCAGACATCATAAATACAACCTGTCCGAGAGACCACGTTGTAGCGCAGAGTCCGCTTGTGCAAATCTATGTCAGGCATGCTATGGTTTGTCTTCTCCCTGTATTTTTCTGGAAATTAAAACAGACACTCATGAGTAAGCAGACTGATCTAAACAGTGGTGGACACTGACATAGACACTTGAGGAGACCTGGGCAGCTCCAGAGACTTCCTACTCTTTCCTCTCATGAAATAGTTCCTTACCAGACTCTCTCTTAGAGACTTGCAGACTTCTCTTAATATCTGCACTATGTTTGAGGCAACACTAGATCCACAGTAGTAGTAATAAAATTAAAAAAACCCACAACCAGAGCATTCATTAGGCATTATTCACTGCAGGAATACAGGGGGAAATTTGAAATCAGCAAGTCAGTTCCATTACTGTAAGGATACATTACATCTGTCATCTATTAAAACACATGGCTGTATGCGCCTGGCAAGTCCTTCAAAGTTGTTCTTTTGATCTTTGCAAAGATAAAACTGTAATGTTTTTCTAGGTATATGAGAACATTAGTTACTGTACTAGTTAAAAAGCAGTTAACCACTTGAAACTGGAGTCATCTGTTTTCTATTTATAGAGCTCAATATCAGTTTCTTGAGGACTTCTCTAACAAACTCTTTCTATGTGAAATATCAGTGAGGCTTTGGTCAAGATAGCTGAACTTCTGCTTAACAGGTTCACTGATGGGGCTGGTCAACTGACAAAGGGCTACCTTGACAAGAGGAAGCAGGAGAAGGGACAGAATGAAGGTTCTGTAGAGCCTTCAGCTCATCCCTCAAATCAGCTCTTCAGAAAGAATAATACTGTCTTAATTAGATTTCAGGTTTCTCTGTCTTGGGAACAGCACATGAGGTTGTGCGACCAAAAACCAAACCTGCAGCTTACTGAGCTTCAGTCATGTAAGTGTTCTGGACGATGTTCCCAGACTTACATTTTACTAAGGAAATGAATAAAAAAGAGTTAACAAATCCTTTATATTTCACTTGAGGATTTTGAAGCATTTGCATAAGCCATTATTTGGTCCTCAACTAATTGCCTAACTAATTATAATTTATCAGTCCTTAAACTGATAAATTATTAAAAACCTTTCAATGAACAAAAAGGTTCCTTTCTTAAGAAAAACAACAACAAACAAACCCTCCACCAGCCAGTGAATGTGCAGGTCATCTCTAAAATGCACAAAGATACCTCTCCTTAATGATTTTTTGAGTTGAGGGCTTCCAAAAGTTGCACATTGCTGTAGGGTATCAAACTGGGTCATGAAGCTCAGCTATTGCAAGAGAAACTCATAATCTTGCCTGTGAATCTCACTCAGAAGGCAGAAATACTTATAGACAGGAAAAGCTTGTGTCACTGTGAGCTCAGCCCCCACAGGATGTCCACTGTGCAAGTTTCGAGCTGGCTTCCCGCCAAGTCCCCGAAACTCGACAACAAGGACCTGCTTCCCAGAGAGGGAAGAGAAAAAAAAACGACTTAAGCAGCCAAAGCTATAGCAAATATATATATATATATTTTACATATGAGACAGATATATACAATGAGAATACTATACACCACAACTCCAGAAATCCCAAACAGCTCCCCAAAAAGGGAAGAGGCGGGAGGGAGAAGGGAAAAGGACAAAAAGGGATAAAGACCAAACAAGTCAACCAGCCAACTGAAGGTAAATTAGCAAAATCTCACCACTTCCCTTTGAACAAGCAGGATGGCCAGACACGGCCCAGTGCTCTCCCCTCACGCGTGGCAGATAACAGCAGTCACTGCAGGCCTCAGCTCCAGATAAGCCAGACCGAGACAGGGACCCACCGTTCTCGAACCTCGCCGGAAAGGAAGGGCGTGAGGTCCCTCCTGCTGGCTTTATTTATACCTCAAATTACATAAAGGAATAGCATGGAATACTTCCGTGATCACTTTCCTAGTTCCTTCCTGGTTACAAGCTGGTCTTCAGGAAGGCCTAGAGTGAAACCATCACATCCACCCATGGGCATTTCCATCAGGTCTTTGTACCCCAGGTTTCTGCTTGCTATCAGGAGTGTCCCACCCTGTAAGCCACAGGGGGCTCAGGCCAAGCCACACCCAGCCATGATCTTAAAGGCTATAACTGAAAGCATAGGAAAACCCTGCAAGCCAGGAGAGAGGGGGACAGCCGCATCTGTGCTCACCAGTGACTGTGTGGGAAAATTGGACAGCTGAGTCATGAGTAAGCAGAAGGTACCTATGGTCTGATTTCTTGAAGCCCTGGAAAGTGCAGTATATGCCAAGGACATGCAGATGGGAAAAACTGAAACTTGGTACTCAGAGTCATTTGGCAAATGCATGAACTGAACACAGTGTTAACAGTGGGAACCCAAAGGCACACTACACGCCTCATGTCCTTAACCGACAGGAGGGAGTGGAAGGTACCTAACTGAAATAATAGGTAACCAAAGGAGGAACACGAGCTGTGATTAAACAGAGGCTTCTACCAACAGAAGTAGGGCTGGCATCTCCTCTGGTTAACAGCTGCTTGCTTGTCCACAGAGGGACTGATCAACCTGCAGGCAGCTCTGGAAAGAGCGGATCAATACGAAACTGCCACTGAGCTCCACAAACCATTTATGCCACAAACTGTGAGTTGTGTGGCTGAAAAGCACAGGGAAGAGTTGAGGAGGAGCAAGGGCTTCCCACATTGGTTTGGTAACAGGGCAGCAATGAGATAATTTTCCATTCCCTTGCATGTACCATTCACCCCTTCCTGCACCGTTGGTGTACCATCACAAGATGAGCTGGAGGCAGAATGAGCCAGCCTGCTTGTAAGCAGCTGGAGGAACACCACTGAGATGCCACCTTTCTCATATGAACACAGCAAATACCAGAGCAAGAAGTTCCACCATATCACAGGCCTGAGGAGAGTGGTGGGAAGGGTACAGCATTTTCTGATGTTTCTGCAAGGGTCCCTTATAATCTTCAACATCTGGTTTGCACTCTTCAGCATTTCCTACACCACACCGCAAATCACCTTTCATTTAACAAGGCTGTGTTGAGAGAATGAAGTGAACCATTTTTCTCCCTAAATCAGAACCAGCAATCATAGCAGGTTCTTGTAAGGTGCACTACTGCAGCACCTCAGCATGGCATGAGAAGGTTATTTCTAGTTCTGAGACAGCCCTGTACTACAGCACCTGCTGACGCCCAGCCCATGAAGGCAGTCCACCTTCCATGTCACTGTCTCGGAGAGCTGGAACAGGTCCAGGCATAGGCTTCCCCCACATCCATGCTAACGAAGACGTGTGAAAGCATTAGCTTCCCTTCACAAATTGTACATCCAGTCAAAATTAAAACCAAATGGCAAATGGAGTATTTTGCCAGTGTTGTTGGAGAAGAGGTCTGGCATGTCTGCCAACCCACAGGTACAGTAGCCATAACCCCGAGTGTGGCAGGGATGGTCAGGGGTATGGTCTGTCACCTTCTCAAAATCACTGCACAGGAGCTAAGTTTACTGAAGAGGATGGGGGTTTTTTGGTCAGTCATGGAGATGAAGCTATCCTTCCAAAAGATGCGTACATTTGTGCTCAGTTGCAAGCCAAGCCTGGCTGCTGTTAGTTTAGCTGACAGTGATTAAATAACTAGTTTATGCTAGATGAGAAGCTAGTCCACAACAGCTAGAGAAGCTCATCTGGCACTGGTTAATACACTGGGGAGGCCGCACATTCCAGGCCAGCATGGTCCCTGCTCGTGCAGGTTGCTGGCAGCCTCCAAGCAATAAAAACTGCAGAGAAATGCATGGGGCCCATGTGGAAACACCAAAACTCCATCGCCTCTGAACAAGGCTGCTAAAACCCCAAACAGCTCAGGGAGCAGGTCCCACACACAACCAGTGGAAAATCCCTTCAGAGTAACACCAGGGGTAGAAAAGGTTTGAGGGGTTGTGCTGCTGTTGTTGCTGAAGAAAGTAGCAAGAAATGAAATCAGCAGAGGTCATGAAAAAAGTGAGCTGCAGAGTGTGTGACCTACAGCGACAAAGGAAGCGTTTTTGTCAAGCAGGCACAGACAGACGGATTTTGCAGGAAAATCTGCTCTACAGACAAGGGGCAGCAGCAATATTCAGCTTTCAGCACAGGGGGAGTGCCTATGTCCCCGCATTAGTGATGAGCTGCAGAGATGGGTGTGAGCTCTGAGGACCTCCATTCCAACACCACCTTGTAGGGCTGGGATTACAAATCCTCCCCTTGCTTTACTCTGTCACTTGCCCATGATGGGGTAGAGCAGAGCTCACCCACTGTCTCCCGCTCCTCCATGTTCCTCAGCTTGCAGAGATGGGGAACATCACTGGGGCTTGCCCAGCAGAGCCTTCGCCAGTGCAGGACAGAGCAACTGCTCCAACCAACACCAGGGACTTCCTTCTCCAGCTGGGACACCGACCTCTACCAGCCTCCTGCCTGTCGGAAAGGCAGGGTGATTGTTGCATTGTGACTGGGACAGAGTAAGGCTGCAGCAGCACAGCAGTCCTGGAGAGACAGTGAGCCTTCAGCCCACCCACGGGTATTGCAGAAGAGGATGTGATTTTCCCCATAAAACCATTTTCCTCACAGAAGTGATCAGACATTAAACAACAGGACAAGGCAATCAAAGGTAGAAGTAAAACACGCCCATGGTGACAGGGCGGTGCCTCTGTGCACCTTTTCCACAAACAGCTGTAAGTGAGGCAAGTATGTGGAAAGGGCAAAAGCAGACACAGGTGACTCACTGAGAAAAATAAATAATGGGTGTTACCTGAGAGCGAAAAGGGAAGAAAACAAATGCTGGAAAGCAATGCCCAACCTACCACTGTAAAGATCAGTCAGAAGCTTACCTGGCAGGATGGCAGTGACAGCTCTGCAGGAATTTGGGGTGTTGTGAAGGCCATGACTTCCCAGGTGTCACCGAAGCTTTTCCAGAGGCAGAGAGAAGTTGGATGATGGAGTTGCTGGCACTGCCAACCCCACTGCAGGTTGTGAAAACCTCCCTTGCCTCCTCCCCTTCCGCTCTCTTCAGATTAAGATGGTTAACGGCTCTCTTCAGTGAACTTATTTGCCCCCTGGCAATCAGATCTCTCAGCTGCCCCAAGAGCTTTCAAGCTCATTTCTGCCAGTGCAAGCTGCTTGCTGGTCACTGCTCCTTTAAGTGGCTGAAACAATCCTACAAGCCCAGGTCTAGCTGCATGAGCTGTAGGACAGGTCCACCAATTGCCACTGTGCTCATAACAAACAGCAAGCAACAACGGTGTTCCCCATCTGAGCCTGCCTCTGGGGACACATAGGATCCCCCACATGCTTTGAACCTCAAAGGTGGAATTTACAGCTCAGTCTAGCCAGCCTGTCACTCTCAAGGAGTTCAAACCAGGCTCCCAGCCCAGACTGGTAGCACCCAGGCAGTCCAAATCTCTCCCTGCAGAAGCAAGCTCAACATCGTACCAGCCCCACTTACCAAGAAACAGGGTCCCAGCAGAGCACTGCTCTCTCCTACAGGAAAGCTGTGTTGGATGCTCCCCTTCCCATAGCTCTACAGTGCACGCTGGGAGGGGCTTGCTGCAGCCGTAGATGCTGCTTTGTCCAAATGCCATCTCTCGTAGTACCTATAAACCTTCACAAAATATGCCAGGAATATCTTCTGGCTCCATAATGGAAATACCAGACCAACGAGGCAGGCTTTTGGCCTATACACCCTGTGAAAATCAAGGAAACTGATAATGTGGTATCCCCAGATCCCAGTACACATATAAGAAGCCACAAACCCACTGGGAGCGAGAAGCAAGGGTGGCTGACACTTCTTCCCAGTTCTCTTCTTGGGAAAACAGTCAATGTCCTGAGACTACGTAACGTTCACACTGTGATGGAAATCAACACTGAACACTGAAAATTGCACCTGGTTTCCCCCCCCCCCATCAGCCCTACTAGTGAACTGTGCAAGCTATTCCTCGTTTATACTGGTATTTTTGGTCTTCCCTCTGCAATTTTAAGCATTTCATTGGTTAACCAAGAACAACTTTTGCTGATGTCGCTCAAAAAAAATGGTATCAGTTTCAGAGAGATCAGTGAAGCTCCCAATGCTGCTATAAAGAACACTAGCACAAGGCAAGAAATTAGAAATCACTTTGCTCATGACAATGAGACGGTCTTTAGAGCAACCTCTCCAGTTTCACTGCAGTAGAATTATAACCATTTTGGTACAAAGACATTTGGAGTGGAATTATTTATTTCATATTCCCCTTCACTGTAGGAGGAATGATTTTTAACTGAGCCCAAATCCACTTACATTCAACTGGATTGCTAATTAAGCTACAGATGTCTCCTGATGGCAGCAATTATTCCTGGTAACCTTAATGAGCTTGCTACATTCCTTAGTTATTGTTATGAAAAGTTATATGAAATACTTTGCCTAATACTACACAGCTCCCGGGGGAATTGCTTCTTGATCTGTTCTGGTTTGATTAAAGGGAATGATTGTTTCCCTTCTTAGCAGTATATCTCAAGCTCTTTGCAGCTCATTTCCCTTGTCTTTTTTTTGGCACTTTTAACAACTCTGACCAACTTTTTCACAGATATTTTCTTTTCCAAACATTTCTATCTGGTTTTGCTCTCCCTGAACTCTCCAGTGCGTTTGCCTGGTTTATTGCACAGTTTTTTTCTCTCTTTTCCAGTGATCTTTTTTGTCTGGAACATATGCTTTACTTACAACAGGGACTTGGTGCTTATCAGAACTCAGTGGGGTTTTGTAGTTGTTGTTACAGTTTGTTCCAGATATAAGAAATGTACCTCCTCACAGTGGAACTTAAGGAAAAGCTTCACTTCAGTGCACAGAAAATAAGGATCTCCTTGAAACATTTAACAGAACAGAATAAACTGAGTAAGCCAAGTAAGCACAGCTTTCCAGGTCTTCTCCTCTTTCCTGTGCCTTTGTACATCCAAAATCCAACAGGCATGCTATATAACAAGCAACAATAAACCCAGGGAATAAAGAACTTCATTGCATTTCAAACCAAAGGATCACTTTTTAAAAAAAAATCTGTATTTATTGTGTTTATACTCCCACTATATTCCTCCTGAAGTCTCCTACCATAGGCAAGAGGTGCACAGAAAGCATTTCAGTGGTTATGACTACTTCTTGTGGCTTAGTACTAATTTCAGGAGCATCAGAGTTCATATGAACATGTGAACTTTCCTTCGAATCACAAGCAATTATGATTAACTCCAGAGTCAAACAGATTCCTGCCCAGCAAGGCACATCATGGAAAGCAAAGACTCCAGGTGCTAGTTCCTGATCAAGCAATTAAAACACCATAGTTTGGAGAAGCATTCAGTGATGATCCCATTTTTCTGACATCGAAAACAAAGGAAGGCTTAGGAGCACCTTCCGCATGAGTAATTAGAGCAGGTAAATGCAGCAGCTTTTGAGTATCCCAACCAGCTGCTACCTCCTTCTGAGCCAACCCAAACACATGTGAAAGCACAGCTGGCAGAGTATCTTTCAATAAAGCTTTTTTGCAGGAACTGCTGATTTACTGAAACAAACTTTTTATGGAAATGAGCTGTTTCTCCTGAAACATTTCAAGTCCTGGGATGGCATTTCTGGATGAAACCAGCAAGTCAGAGGAGCTGGTCTGATAGCTCAGCAATGTTGTGAGACTGGCTGGGCCAGAATTTAGGTCTGGGAACTCAGATTACTGAGTAGCCTTCCATGCAGGCTGTCAGCTATTTTACAGTGCCTTTTCTGTTCTGCCTTTAAATAAAAAGAAATGCAAAAGCCTCAATTTCTTGTTGTCAAAGAGACTCCTCTTCCAATCACTCTGTGTGCAAAGGCCAAGAGGAAAACAATTAAATAGCAAAAAGTAAGGAATTTGTTCAAGCTCGCAGAATCCTCAGAATGGTGACCGGACCCTGGTGGTCTCTAGTCTGACCTCCCATGAGGAGCAGGACTGCCATGACCACTACAGCAGGTCACATGCGGCTTCGTTCAGCCATGTCATGAACATCAAGCAGAGATCTGTCCACCCCTTGGGGTAACCTGTTCTTCTGTAGCACCACCCTCCAAGTGAAGTCATTATTCCTCATGTTCAACCTGAACTTCCCATGTGGCAACCTGTGACTGCTGCCACTTGCCATAATGCCTGTACCCACAAGACTTCGTTCTGCCATCTCTATGGCTCTTCTTTAAGCAGCTGTACAAGGATCTGCCTTCACTCTCTCTTCAGGCTTAACAAGTCCCCTTGTGCCAAGGACATCTCTGAATCAAAGGGATGCCTTCCCTTACTTTTGACACCCAGACACACTCTGCCATGCCAGAAAAAAAGGCTCTACAGGAAGGGTAAGCAGAGACAGCTTGCACAATAGATTTAGACCTGGCATTGGTGGCAGCGCTTCCTCAGTTGCCTTTCTCACTACAGAGATTCAGTCTCCTGACATGAGCCAACACAATGGCATTCTGTTTTGGAGAGTGGTGTGAATTCTGCTCTCAAAGAAACATTTGTTTCAGTTCAAGCTTTGGAACTTTAAACAAGTGCAATTAAATGCACTGAAAATACTATTACAACATGAAGGCTAAAAATATAAACACAAAATGCCAGGAGTCACAAGAAAAGTTCCTGGAAGAAATGCCCACTCACCCACACTGCACAACCATGACATCATCGAAGCGAGAGCTTGCATTTTGAAGCCAGATAAACAAGCCACAATTCAGCCTTTTTTCTACTGCCAGAAGTTTACACCCACAAACAACTATTGTCAGCACTAGAAGTGGCACCATTTGGAAATTCTCTGATCTGCATCAATAGGTAAGTCCCCAGTGCTACTATTTGGTATAGATATGATTACTTGTGGTTGTAAGTTTCTACCTAAAAATGCTAAATCACTCCTAGTTTATACCACAGAAAGCAAACTTCAGAAGAAACATTTGCAGTACAGGTTCTTGGATGCTTTTAAGAACTAATACTGTCCTTATCCATGAAAAAAAAAAAATCAATTTTAAATTTACAGCCTTCACCTGACAATAAGTGTCCTGAATATGCTGTGCTTTTTAAAATGCACTGAATGCTCAGACTTCAGTAAAAAAAATTTATTTTCAATATAAAAGTGCCAAAATATTCACCAACATTGTAATCTATTCAGCAACCAGCTTACTCTAGTAATCAAAATTGCAAGCATCTTTATTCACATTTTTAAATCAAATTCCTTTCACACGTTTCCACAATAACCCGAGTCCCTCGAAAGAGGGAAATTTGCATTTCGATTGGCTGCTGTAGTCCATATGTCCAAGTTCATGTAGGCACGGAAAGGGTTAAACCTCGGATAGTATTCCTGCTTACACATAACTGCCTGGTTCTCCACATGGGTTGAATGTTGAGTCGTGGCACTGACGGGGCAGCAGCTTTCATAAACATCACTCTGAGGTGCCCAGATGGAACCAAAAAGTCCAGACATTGGAGACAAGCTTCGGGTGCTTGAGAGGTAGGGCTGTAGAGCAAGATAAAACAATCATGGGAAACTGCACAATGGACCATTTGCCAAAGAAAACCTGAAAACGTAGTACTAAATGGGAGGAAGCAGCACTTGCAGAAAACTTGAGAAACACACAGTAAAAAGTTTACAAAGAAATATGGCTGCCGAAATTACAGCAGCATTGCGCGCGCGCGTGTGTTAAGGACCTTTACTGAATCAAGCCATGTGAGCTCATCCCTGTAAGGCATAGATATTACTGTAACAAGAATATATTGTAACAAGAATACTGTAACCAGTATTCAGTTCTGGTCAGGATGCTAAGGAAAATAAGGGAGAAATGGAAGGCACGTGAAGAACACCATCCATGTTTTGAGAGTTAAAATTAAAAGAGAAGGATGCCTAGAAATGACAAGAAAAAGGTTCAAGTATATGTCAGTACAGAAAGACTATGCATACAGGGAGTAGAAAGGGATATTCAGTATGAAAGAGAGACTATAATTGGGAGCTAGGGAATTTAGTTAGAAAATTTTGAAAGCTTATAAAGAACCTCCTGGAGGGCAAGATGTGTTAGTCTGCAAGGAAGTCTCTCAGTGAAGGTCATGGAAGTCTTGGGACTTTTAAAACTGAATGAAACACTGAAATGTATTGTGGAGAAAAGCTCACCAGGGAAATGAACTGAATTATCTAATGTATTTTCCAATCTCTACCTTCTGTGTTTCCTGGCATTCCTGAACAAAATATGAAATAAAGCCATGTTTGTTTTAGGCAAAAGTCTTCTACCAGTTTTTAACTTTTTAACGCAGAAGAATTTTCACTTTTACAGTTAAAACTATTTCTTGCTTTATTTGGTTAGTTTTATTCAAAATAAACCTACTGTAAATGAAAAAAAAATCAAAATTCTAAAACAGAGGATCTTGAAATATGAGGAGAGGAGAAGGTGATTACAATTA